GAGGGCTGATTTCCAAAATATACAAAGAACTCAAGAAGCTAGCCACCAAAACACCAAATAATCCAATTAAAAAGTGGGATACAGAATTAAATAGAGAATTCTCAATAGAGGAATCTAAAATGGCTGAAAGACATTTAAGAAAGTGCTCAACATCCTTAGACATCAGGAAAATACAAATCATAACAACTCTGAGATACCATCTTGCACCTGTCAGAATGGCTAAAATAAAAAACACCAATTACAGTTTATGCTGGAGAGGATATTGAGAAAGGGGAACACTCCTCCACTGCTGGTGGGAGTGCAAACTTGGACAGCCACTTTGGAAATCAGTATGGCAGTTCCTCAGGAAATTGGGAATCAGTCTACCACAAGATCCAACAATTCCACTCTTAGGCATATACCCAAAGGATGCACATTCATACAAAAGGACATTTGTTCAGCTATGTTCATCACAGCATTATTTGTAATATCCAGAACCTGGAAGCAACCTAGATGTCCCTCAACTGAAGAAAAAGATAAAGAAATGTTGTACATTTACACAATGGAGTAATACTCAGAAGAAAAAACAATGGAGTCATGAGATTTGCAGGAAAATGGATGGAACTTGAAGAAACCATCCTGCATGAGGTAACCAAGCTACAAAAAGACAAACATGGTATGCACTCACTCATATATGGATATTAGACATAGTGCAAAGGATTACCAGCCTACAATCCACACCTCCAGAGAAGTTAAGCCTACACTGTTACAGTCACTGTTGGAGCCAACTTTTTACTCATTCAGTTGTCTCACTCAATCATTCTGAATCATGTTTTTTTGTTTGTTTGTTTGTTTAAATCTCTCAAAGTATCTTAGTGCTTCAAGAACTATTTCAAAACCCATATGAATATTTTACAAGTTGTTCTACATGGAGAAACCCTGTCTCAAAAAACCACACTGGATATTCCTATCAAAGCAAATGTAGGTAGGTGAGTAGATAGATTTGGAAAAGTTGAGATCGATTAATCACTTCTCTGACTTCAATATTCATTCGTTTTCATCCTTGGGTCAAACTAACACAAATGGTTTCGGGGAAACAGTAAATTTTTAAGATGTAAACATTACAGAGAAGAATCTAGATAAAATAATGATTCCAGAGGTTCTGTATCTAAAATTCATTTTATAGATAAATATTCTACATATTCAATAAAAGATAAGTGACGAGCTGTGCAGATATGCCTCACCAATAGACAATGAGCACCCTAGAAAAGACATCTGGTCTCCTTTGAAAAGTACCATGGACCTGAGCAAACTGAAGCTTGGAATACTTTATCTTTGTGAACATGCATCAGTATAAGAGGTGTTTCAAGAATTTAATAAACACTCTTACTATTATTTCTTTTCTTATAACTCTCTGCCAAGATCTCAACCTTTCTCCTTTTTTTTCCATTATAATACTTTAGACGAAGTTAAAACTTTTGAGAATTAAAAGTTCCAGAATGGATTTCTGTCACAGAGGTTTTTAAAAGAAACTACTAAATAATTTAAATAATAATTCTGTAGTCTGAGCTTAAAACTTATGAGCATCAAGACCAATTCTGTGTGTCATAAAAACTTCAGTAAGTGAAATGTGTTTATGTATTTTGATCTTCTAAGTCAGAGGTAGAGCAAAAACATCCTGAAAGGGCCTCCAGGAACATGTTACTTCATGAGCACCCCCTTTGACACTTTTCTTGATTATTATCCCATGAGGTCCCCCAACCCTCTTTTTTCCCTCTGAATACACAGTTATATCCAATTTTCAGAGTATTTTCAGAGTAGGCTGATTCTACACAGTCAGTTCAGGGTCAGTGTAGATAAGTTGGCAACTCCTTGCATCAAATAAAAGATACAAAGGCCTGTGGATATAGCTCAGTAGTGCAACACTTGCCAAGCATGCACAGGGGCCAAGGCTCAGCCTCAAGTACACAAAACATAGGTTCTTGGCTCAGAGGAAAAATAAAACCTCAGGCCAGTGCCAGGCAATTCAATTGAGTTAACCAGTATTTACAAAATAACTGCTGTGCACACAGAGACCTCCCATAGGACCCAATGGGCAATTACATACTGTTTGCAATGATCCAATCATATTCCAGGCAGCTATAGAATAGGCCAAATTGGATTTCTGAACTTTATAAATAAAAGAACAAGCACAACATTTACT